TGTCCACTGGGTCAACTGGACAGACTCAGTCTTCTGGGCTTCATGTGCCCTTAACATACTGCCCATCATGGTATGTTGGGTTACCCTTCTTGAAAGCCTGCTGTAGTACCCTGGATTTGTGGCTTTCCCCAAAATACAGCATGTTCCACAAAGAGAAAATAAAAGTGCATCAACAACCAGGGTATTGATCCAAGCAGTGTTCTCTGAGGATCATTCCTCACATACTCTCCCAAATGACAAACTGTTCAAATGCTGTGACATGTATCAATACTTTCCCAGAAGGCCCCTGCCATCTGGGCTGGAAATTCTCCTAGCAGAGAACAAAAGCCTTTTTATATTTACAGATTAAGCTAAAAACAAAACAAAACAAAACAAAAAGGAGAAGAAGACCCAGAGGAGAAGCAACACTTGATTTCCCCTTTTCTGTCATTTGCCCCCAACTCCAAGTTTCCTCAGCATCTTCAACTCCCTCCCTCCTCATATCCAGACACCAGGTCCACCAGATCTTTCTTTGATGTCTAACTCATCTTCCATTCCTTCTGCTGACACCCCACAGTCAGGCCTTCATTGTTTCACTCACATCATTGAAATCAGCTCCAAACGGAACACTTCTGTCCTCATTCTTAGTGATCTACACTGACTAAAACTCTAGTTCGAGCTTTTTAACCTGGAATTAAAATGATCCCACATATGATCTTTAGCACTCTCTTCCATACCTATCTGTTGCTATATGAATCTTCTACTTTGGCTGAGGTGCTCTAATTGGCATTTCTGAAAGGATTTGTTACCCCAAATTTAAAGGGTGTATTGTCTGAAAATCACTTGGCAAAACCTTAAACATTACATAAGTATGAATTATTCTGTCTCGTACCTACCCCAATCAATCTTTTGTCAGCATTTAATAGTTAATGGTTCTCTCCCTATTCATATGGTGTGCCCTTACTCTGTCAAAACATTCTTTCTCCTATCTAGTTACACCAACTGCCATTTCTCTGACTTTACAGGTTCATCTTTTCTTTCTCTTCCCAAATCTTTCTGATACAACACATTGGAAGCCGTGAACCTGCATCTTCTTCCAAGATCTCCACCTCCTCAACCAACCCAGGCTACCAGCATTCAGCAATGCAGTCAGAAATATCATCCCATGCCCCCACTTGACAAGAAGAAGGGATCAGGTTGTCTTTGGCATCTCATAAAGTATGTCTGCCTTTTCATACCACCCCCATCCATGTGTCCACAGCTCAGTCCTGGATGCTTTATGTAGCTGTTCCCTACCTAAACTTTCCTACCTACCCCCAGCTCACAGCAATCTTTGTCCCCTGAATTCTTACAGCCAAACTCTTGTGACTTGTCCTGTGGAATGATACTAATATTCTACCATTAGTATTCCTTCAGCCTTCGTAGCTTGTTCTTATGCACCCCAGTGGGTTGGGAACTCCTTCAAGGTGACAAAAGTATCTTATATTAATTTGTAGATGCATATTTCAACATTATTTAATGGAGCCTGGCACGCAGTGGTTCCTAATTTGTTATCCAGGCTTGTTAGTCACACTGGAAGTGAATGATAACTATTTCCTTCTCAGTTTGAGTGTTGAGAGAAACTTGGGAAGGCCTGCAGAAAACGAAAAGCCATTCTCCCCTTGGAAGAATAGATGCCAGAGCAGAGAACAAGGGCCAAGAAGGGAGATCCCAGAATCTAAAAGATAACTACTCCAAAAGCATCCTTTTACTCAAGGTGAGGGACACATAAATAGAATAGTTTTCAAATGAGAAATTCTAGATAGCTTTTCTTCTCCCCGATCCCCTGTCTTTACTCTTCATTATTGGGAGAACATGAATATACATACATTGTCTGTACAAGGCTGCCTGCCGCTTCAGAGAGCTCTCTTCTGAGGCCGAAATACCCCCGACCTCTGTGTTCCCTGTGGGGTGTACCTGGGCTCACCATGCCCTGCAGTCATCATTCTGATACCAGAAAGCAGTGGAATTAACAAACATAACCTGGGAAACAAGAGGCATTGCTAATGATTCCAGCCAGGGAAAAAAGAGCATAAAAATTAATTTTAACATAGTAATAGATCTTCCATACAGAACCCCACTATCAGCTGAGCCCCAGACCGAAAGGAAAATGCCCCTCCACTTTTAATTGAGTGACAAACGCCAAAACAATGACTTGCTTTACTTGAAACCAGGGAGGCTATTCTCTTCTAGCTGCAAGTTGTGGGGAAGACAGAGGAGGGGCATCAGACTGTCCACTGCTTTAAAAACACAAGATGTGGTTGTGTTTCTTGTTGCTTTCATCAGAGGCTGTATTTCTCTTCTGCATGTCCTCCACCCTGTCCATATTAATTAGAAAGATGTCTAAGTCTTAACCACAGGTGTCAGTCAGGGAAAATTCATGGTTTCATGGCTAAGTGATGAGATGTGACCTTCTCTTTTCAGAGACAGGATTTTTTTTTTTAAAGAAATCACTCATTTAGAATGAGTTTCAGTACTAAAAACTAAATTTATTTCCCTAAGTGTCACATCCCTGATCTGTATAACAGAATCTTCCCCTGATGATTGTATTTTTTAACTTTAATTTTTAAATAATACAAATAAAGACAAGTAGACAGTAATTCCGATTAAAATAAAGATGCATGTGTTACTGATATCAGTTTATTGTAGCATAACCATTAATGAAGTCCTTTATTGTCACAGAGAAAAGTGAAGGCCAATTTTGATGCATATATATACTTTGTCTTAATACAAAGACTAAAAGAAATAAAAAGCATCAGGGGCTGCTGACTGCTATGCACTTATTCCCCAAATTTCTCTATTGCCTTGGCAATTATACCCCAATTGGATGCTCCTTCCTCATCTTCATGTAATTCCTCCAAAGTAGGAAGAATAAATGTCCAAAGAAGAATAAATGTCCAAAACCATTCCCATACAGTTCTGTAAGAGACACAAATGAATGGAAGACTCAAGACTTTGAATATAACACTTGCTGGCCAAGGCATAATTTGGATAAACAAATTTTAAGCTAGAATTATTTTACATATATAATTTGTTCTAAAATTAAGGAAGACACACAGAAAAGTGCATTTTTTCCATACAGGTGTACTGAAATTACTGTAAGCCAAAAAAAAGAAGGAGGAGGAGGAGGAGGAGGAGGAGAAAGAAAAAGAAAGAAAGAAAGGAGAAAGAAAGAAAGAAATTGAATTTTCAAATAATAATTTTTGGACTGAAAAAGTCTACCTTAGTCCCTTATTCAGCATTACATATGCATGAACAAACCAGCCACTGACTGTCCAGAGTTCTACTATATCTTAACTGGATATGATGCTTATTCTTAGTTTCAGTTAGAGGAAAAGATACCAAATGGAGGCTTTGTTCTGTTGACAAACAAGAAAATGGCTTCAGTGACAGTGCTGTCTTTTCACCTTCTTAATCCTAAACACAAGTGAACATTCCATTGGCAACTTTTGCAAGACTGTTCTCAAAACAGCGACACAATCATTCAAAAGGTCCAGTTTAAAGGAGAGAAGAGAAAAATCAATAACTTTGTGCAATTACTGGAAAACACAACCGTTAGTCATCAGAAAATTAGAGGCTACATCTAACTTACAAACCTCTCGATTCCAGTCCTGTGGATGGAAATTTACATTCAAAAGGAGCACCAAAATAACTTCCCTTCTGGGGGCAGTAAAGATTCTAACTGGTTTCTCAGCAGAACTGGCAAGGTTGAAAGAGTAACTTTTGTGGGGGAGAAAGCTTGGAGTGCTCCATATATTCAAATGGCAAGAAACTGGTTTGTCTTAGACCTGTGGCTCATATCAGGCCAAGGAGCAAACATAATAACCCTGTACAAGATTCTCAGGAACTCCTCAGCGAGAGCACCCCTAACTAGTCTTTGGGGCCCTATTATTTAAAGTAACTCCCTGTGAGTTCACAGACCTCACAAAGCCTATCGGGACCCATCTCATTGGAAGCCTGGAATTCCTATTTGGAAAGCAAAGTCCTGGTAACTATGTGTGCTGGACTTCCTACAGAACAAATCCCGTGTAATGTTAGGACACGCTTAACAGACTATTCTATCCCAAAGGACAGGGGTAACTAGGAGGAAAGTCTGCATCCTTTGGATGAAACTGCCCTTTCGGGTTCCACGAGGAGCGCCACCTGCAGCCGGGGCCGCGTGCACTGACGTCTCCTCCCTCTTAAACGCCCCACACCACCCTCTTTGGCTTCCCGGGTCCAGCTCGTCCCGCCGGAGCTAGCTCCGGCTTCGGCAACCCCAGTGGTTTATCCGCCCTTCTGTGCGTCCCTCGGCGTAAGCGGAGGAATGGCTCTAGTTCGGTAGACTTTCTTGCGCGCGCGCCGAGAGCGCATGCCACACAGCCGCTGGCTGCGGAGGCGCCCGGCTGGTAGGCTGCCGGGAGGCCTGAGCACGTACGCCTTGTTGGTCGGCACAGCCCGCGGTAGGTAAGTCGCGGCGCCGGAGCGTGCAGACGCGCGGGGAGCCTATACAAACCGAAGTCCGTTTTCCCTTTCCACGGATTGTCAGTTTCTTTGGTGAGTGCTGACGCCAAGGCAAGCACGGATAAAAATCGTTCCGCACTCCCTCCTCGCTCTCCCCCACTGGCCCAGCCTTGCTTGTACTTACAAGTGCACTCTAAGAGACAGCTTCTGGCCACTTGTTTGGAGTCCAGGAAGACAGAGCAGGGGCTGTGCGCGGAAGAGATACTCTGCAAGTCTACACGGCGGGGCGGGGATTCCCAGGGACACCACAGTCACTGGGAAAAACAGACCCTCCAGCTTTTCCCGACTAGCAAACCTAGGCATGAAACTGGTGGGGAAAAGTGAGTTTCTAGGGTAGGATGGCGGGGCAGGTTTGGAAATCGGGAATGAAGCAAACTCCTGAACCTTAAATCCAAGTTCTCGCTGTGGGGCGATCGTGTGGGAGCGGTTAGTGGGCGCGGCGGCTGCGTGTACTGTTTATTTATCTGTGTAGATTTTTTTGCCTTGAATGGCTTAGGCTTAAACTTCCGCCGCGAAGATTTGGGGTGCGGAAGAGGGAGGAGGCAAGTGCAGAGTTCAGACCTGATTCTGAGGCCAAAGGCTGAGCCAAGGTCGCTTATCACGGAAAGGGGAGTTTCCCACCCCCCTCCAGACCTTTTCTCTGGGGCTCTTTGCACAAAGCGCACTCCCTCCGAGCAGGGTATTGGGCGACGGAAGTGGAGGGACGAGGTCTGGAAGCGGGGACCCCAAGCAGCGGAGAAAGTGAGAGGAAATTAGCGAGCTATCAGAAGTGTTGATTCCAGAAAACTGGAGGAGGCAGAGAGGATGGGGCGGGCCTACTCGCCGACTACTCCACCATCATCGGCGGCAGAACTTGCACTTGATGATCTTCTTAAACGCGTTTTGGAAGTCTTTGTTGAAGTAGGCGTAAATGACAGGGTTGAGCAGAGAGTTGGAGTAGCCCAGCCAGTTGATTATGGCTCCCAGCAGGGTGGGCATGTGGCAGCTGCTTTCACAGAAGGGCAGGACCAGGGCCACGATGAAGAAGGGCAGCCAGCAAAGGATGAATGTGCCCATGATGATGCCCAACGTCTTCACCGTTTTCCTCTCCCGGGCCAGGGCCATCTTGCGCTTGGCCTCGGCGTTGCGCTCATTCTTCTTCTCGAAGGAGGCGGGGGTGCAAGGGATAGCACCCACCTCGCTGGGCAGCGGCAGGTGCTCTTTGGAATTGCCCACCCTGTGCACTTCAATCACCTCCAGGGCGGCGCCGTCCTCACCCTGCCTCACCGCGCCATTGGTGCACAGAGTCCCCCCTGCCTTGTTCTCCACACCCTGCCTCCATTCTCTGCTCCCTGGCTCGCCGTTTACGCTCTTCTTGGGCTGCGGGGCCGGCGACACCCCAAAGCGGGTGTCCGCTCCCTTCTTCTCCACCTTCTTGACTGTTTTGCGGATGCGGAAGCGCGCAGCTCGGAAGATGCGCCCGTAGAGAACCAGCATGAGCAGCAGCGGGATGTAGAAAGCGCCAAAGGTCGAATAGATAGTGTAGCCATGGTCCTTGCTAATCGTGCACGCGTCGGGGTCGGAGCGGTCTTCGGGGGTGCGCCAACCCAGCATGGGCGGGATGGAGATAAGGAAGCCAATGAGCCAAGTGAGCGAGATGAGCGCAGCGGCGCGCCGGGGCGTCCTCTTGTTCACGTAGTCAATGGGGTCCGTGATGGCCCAGTACCTGTCCAGTGCAATGGCGCACAGGTGCAGGATGGACGAGGTGCAACACAGCACGTCGAGGGCGATGAATAGGTCACAGGTGACCTGCCCCAGCGTCCATTTGTTGAGCACCTGGTAGAGCGCAGCCATGGGCAGCACCAGCACCGACACCATGAGGTCGGTGACAGCCAGAGAGCCGATGAGATAGTTGGCCACATTCTGCAGGGAGCGCTCCAGGGCGATGGCGGCCACCACGCACGCATTGCCCAGCACCGCGCAGAAAATGAGCGTGCCCAGCAGCAGTGAGGTGATCACTTGGTAGATGAAGGTCACGTCGGAGATGCCAGTAGCGTTTCCGCGTGTCCCGAAGGGACCCTCGGACAAAGTGGTGTTGTTGCCCTGTCCCGGGTTGAGTACATCCATGCCTGCGCGCCCGGCGGGGGGGGAGGGGGAGGGGAGAAAGTGCTGCGTTAGGATCCCCCTCGCCCCTCCCCCTGGGGTCTTCCACCCCTCTCTCCTGGGGAGTTTCAGGTGGAGGGAATGCAGGGACTCAAGCAGGAAGTTCTTACTGCTCAGGCGAGGGCATCTCCGAGGAGCAGCTTCCAGGAGCTCCCTGGGCTCCCTTGGTCCAGCAGGCTCAGAGACTCCAGCTGGGAAAGGAGTTCGCCAGAGAAGAGCTTCGGGACCTCTGGGCGTTGGAGAGGTGGCTGGAACATCTGTTTCTCACTGTCCATTTTACTTTGCCGCTGCCCAACTGGCTGCCGGAGCTGGAGTCGGAGTCTCCCCACTAGCCAACAGTCTTCAATCTTAGAAGTATCTGGAATAGAGAAGCCTCATCCTCTAAGGTCACTCTGACTCTCCTCTTCCTGCTTCTCTCCCTATCCCTTTCCCACTCTCTCCTCCAGTCTCCTCTCTAGAAAGCCTTCTCTCCCCCCCTTCTCTTTCAATCTCCCTCTTTCTTCTCACTCCCCTTTCTTTATCCTTCCTTGCGTCGTTCCGACTGCTCTGAGAGTGTCCCTCCCTTCCACGCTAACCCTCTCCTCCTAACACTTCCCCAACCCTGAGTGTCTCTTTCCTCTGGGTCCCCGCCCTCCTCTCCCACTAGATCAGCGTCTTTTCGTTCTAGCCCCTTTTGGTCGGCAGAGATTCAGAATTCGCTTCCACCGGATCTGCCGCCGGTCAGACCAATATTACAACGTATAACTCCGCCTCTCACCCAGCCAAACTCGAGAGGGGAAAAAAAATCCTAACTATCCATTGTTTCATATTTCTATCAAATTATTAAGGAGAGTTAGCAGCAACAGAGTGGCAATAGAAAATGAGAAAAGGAGCCACATGGAGTCTGAACGGGGTGGTAGACAGTCCTAGGTTCGTCTGTAAATTATTGTTAATTGATGGGAAGAAGACAAAGTGGTTCTTAGCTTTTTAAGGAAGCCAGCAATTTCATTATCTGACAGTCCAGCCTGACTCCCTTCGGGAGGATGTTGCGGGTGGCTTTATTTATTTATTTTTTTAACCTTGGGTAATTAGGGTGGAAAGAAATTATAAAGGACGTGTCAATGGACAGTAAATAGCTGCGTATCAAAGTAAAGGGAAAAAGCTCAATTCCGCATGCATTCTATGCACATACATATACACATGCCTTTCCATTACCATTACCTTTTTAATATCAATAAATATTGCCACGTTTCATAGCTTTGTGGCGAGTAAATGTAGGGAAGGGAATCTTTTGCCTGTATTCTGTAAATAAGGCTGGGCATTTTATATGGTCTTGGCTTCTTCTTCAACTGAGCCTGCAAACCTCTAAGGGAACTTGGTGGAATACCTGGTCTCTGGCCCACAGTTTCTCTTAAGCGCCGGTATCAGCTTCAGCACTTGGGACAGCTCTAGGCAATAAGGGCTTATATCGCCACCTTCCGGCAAATGCTTTGGAGAGCCACCTAGAAACCCTTGGCTTGCAGAAATTAAGCAGGTACAGAGGCAATCCCATAACTTCATGGAAGGAAAATCGTTATTAAAAGAAAAGTAACATTGAACTTTGTATTTCTTCTTCTGCTTCACTCAAAAATTTTTTTGCCCTCTTTTCCTCTTAATCTTGCATATCGAGACTATTCTATTCTCTAGCTCTTTTTGCAAGCCCGCAGAACAGCCATTCAGAAGTTATATCTGGGAATGAGGTATTAATAGACCTAGGCAAACATCTTCACCTGTGTTGGTTTTGTACTGACAAAGGCTGCTCTTCAGAACTCACACATTTGCACACATTCACTAATGGGGGAAAAACAGTACTGGATTTTGCAAATGGGCATGACAACATAGAAAATAAATAGACTACTATGGGTTGGCTCTAAGCTGTTTCTTTTACCAAGAAAGGCACATTTAATCCCATTTGAACATAGGTAAAGAATGGGACTCCCAATATACTAGCAAAAAAAAAATGTAACACAACAAAGTTCACTCATAGATGCTGATTACATGACTGAAGTGAAGGAAAAGTGCAGAATGCAACCCTACAACCAGATATGACTAGGCATGACTCTAGTTAACTGGCACAGATTCACCTCAGGTAGCAATAGTCTTGATACTGTGTTCAAATATGAGCTGAATTTTATGGCTTTGAATTCTTCAAGACCAAACAAAAGAGCAATCACCAACGTGTCAGAGAAAATCTAATTGGGCTGATGCATACAGTACAGGGCAATGCGTTTGAGGATGGATTGTTTTACAATGTAGTGCTGGGCACAGTTCCCACTCAATCATTTCAGCATGCCACAATAATGAACCTGACATTTATAATGATTCATGGCATTGAAAAGAAAGAGATAAGTATACATGGCAATACTGGCTACAGACTCTGAAGATGTCTTTTTAAGATTTGTGAAGGTACTGATTCCCCTTTCAAAATATCCTCACAAAAACGGAACTAAATAGCTGTATTAAAGTACAGTTGTGGGTCCAGAAATTATAGTAGGAAAATAATTAAAATCTGGATTCTCCAAAGATGAAATTTTGGAAACAGAGTTGATAAAAGTAAAAAGAAATTTAAATTTTGAGAATAAATATATACATATCAAACACATCCTTGAATAGGAACCCTGTCTAACTTCGTGCATATAAATATATGTCAGTAAATATGTCTGTCAGCAATATGTATTCATCTATTGGATCCCATATGGTTTAATAACTGACAAATTTATGTTTTCCTTTCAGGAAAGCTAAACTTATTTAAATCTGGAATTAATTACATTCATGAGGTCTGGCATTTGCTATTCTGCTATAATATTCTACAATGCAGCATTTTTATAAGTTGAAAAATAATCTGAAGTACTTCATGTCTTCTATAGGAAGAATGTACATAATATTTCAAACATTGCATTTCTCAAAATGTGTAACAAGATGTTTAGGCACTCTTATGAACACTAAGAAGAAAACAGAAATATGAAAAGTATATACAGCACTGATTCTGGTGCCATAAACATCAAGTGACCAATAGTTGGTTATATAACCTTTGTTGAACTAATACTACCATGACAGATACTAAAAGCACAGTGATATCACATTTCTTTTTGTTCACACTTTGCCATTCTTCTAAGCTCAACCCTTTGAGACACAGAATCCCAGATACACAAGAAGAAAATGGTGCAGCCCGAAGATCTGGGTTAGTTAGGCTCTTGTTCTACAAGGCCTCTGAAATTAGCCTGAAGAAAAGCTAGCCTTAAAGCAGATGTTATTGATGACATTGCTTGAAAACAAAACTTGCAGTCATTCTGCTTTTATTTCTTGTTTGAATTTACTAGATGCAACTTGTCAGTTATGGATCTGGAGTATGATACACCATTCATCATGTGAAATGTCTCTAAAATAGTTTATGAGAGATAAAGATTTTTAACATTTTCACAGGAAATTTGATACGAGTCCTGCATTTCAATGTAGTTCTTTGACCAGGAATATAAGATAAAAAGATATTAAGCTGATAATATACTAAAAAAATTCTTTGCTGTAAAGTCTGAATGGGCTGTCATTAACTGAAGGCTTAGCAATGGCTGGGGCTTCTCAGTCATTGACATGTTTGTCCATAATTCCTGAATCATGGCTGATTTTTCTGCTAATGAAATATATAGTCAAGAGTTGAAAATGTACTTAGGAGATTACAAAAGTGATTTCTAAAAGCTCTTATTAAAAAAAGTTTTTAGGGGCGCCTGGGTGGCTCAGTGGGTTAGGCCTCTGCTTTCAGCTCAGGTCATGATCCCAGGGTCCTGGGATTGAGCCCCACATTGGGCTCTCTGCTTGGCGGGGAGCCTGCTTCCCCCCCACCCCGCCCTCTGCCTGCCTCTCTGCCTACTTGCGATCTCTGTCTGTCAAATAAATAAATAAAATCTTTTAAAAAAAAGTTTTTATTTTTTTTTTCAAATGGAAACTAGGAGAGATTTTCTTTTTAAGGTAAAAATACCATTCTGAATTTAATTTTCCCCAGTCATCAAATAGTAAAGCAATAGGGCAATTGTAGTTCTTCCAGAACTGTAGATCTTTACTGGAATTCACTAGGAAAACAAAATAAACTTCCAAGAGAGGTGTTTGCTTAAAAATAATGTAGTCCTCTGATTATCAGTGAGAATTAACTGTCATCTATTTAAAAAAATACAACTAAAATGCAAGAGAAAGAATTCTCCTGTAAAACTGAGCACACTTTTTTTTAAAGGTTTTATTTATTTATTTGTCAGAGAGAGAGAAAGCATGAGTGGGGAGGAGGGCGAGAGGCAGAGGGAGAAGCAGGCTCCGGGCTGAGCAGGGAACCCCATGTGGGACTCAATCCCAGGACCCCGGGATCATGACTTGAGCTGAAGGCAGACTGTTAACTGGTTAACCAGGTAACCAACTGAGCCACCCAGGCGTCCCCTGAGCACACTTTTTTTGGTGTGCAAATCCTCACCATGCCCCTTCCTCAGACGGTATTGTTCTTTCACTGCTCTTTGTACATGTCAGGCACTTCCTAGAGGCCCAGAGCTGCACGTGGTTTTCAGTACCAAAGCACAAACAGTGGAGCCTCCATCTCTGCTCCTGAGAACCATTTCAGATTGGCTTGGGTCATTTAACACACACACTGAAACCACAGCATATGGAGAGGAGAGTGAACACAATATAACATGTATTCACTAGGTACACGACCTTGGGCAAGTCAATTAACCCTCTTGTTTCCTGAGTAGTAAAATGAATGTGATAATAAACTTGCAAAGATTAAATGACCTCAATAAATACCCAAGAGAGGTGAAACAGTAACAGTAATAGTGATGCAAAGTGAAAATATTAATCCTCTCTCTACTGACAATTGCTGAGCAATGCAGAGAAAGAGATCTAGGTAGGCTTAGTGAAAGAGCAAGAGCTTGGAAAAAAAAATCCCCCTCTCAGGTCAGAATTTGTTGTGA